ATCTAAGATTCAGTCCTGGATCTACACCTCAGTACCCATATTACCCTGATGATATTATCTGGCATCTCTGAATTTCATTTTCTTTATCTGTATACAACAGAAAATGACACAATAATGCATATATTGATAAAATACTTAGCACAGTACTTGGAACCTAGTAACTACTCAATAGATGTTAGCCAGTTTTTTAGCTAATAATGTGTTAGCTAATATTTTCAGTATTTTATTATCCCTTTAATGTGCATTGTGCCATGCCAGCACAATTAAGGGTTCAGTGAGCCTGAGGAGGGGTGGTGAAGGATTAAAGAAAAGACAAAGAGAATATGGCTGGGGCTCGGTAGATCTCCCATGCCTGGCTGAGGACACAGAAAGACCTTGCCTATAAGCTGAGGTCTTTTATAGTCAGAGAAAAACAAGGTAGTGGTCAACATAGCTCCAATGTTCTTGTGAGTTTCACGTGTCTTGGCAGCACTGACTGAAACTCCCACAGCCCACTAGCTATCTAGGAAGGATCTAGGGGGCAGACATTAGGTCAAGCTTAATTATGCTAACCTGGGGACTTGTTTGTGACTCTGCCACAGGTCAATCCGAGGCTTAACTCTAGAGCCACTCCCTACAGTGCATAATTTGGATAAAATTGAATCATGCCTACCAGCTAAATCACCATGTGACAAATAAATTTATTCTTTTATTCACTTATTCATTTACCAGCTGCAAAGTGCACTCTGGTAGATGCCATAGGAAAAGCAAAGAAGACTCCAAGACCATACCGTCCTTGGAGGAGCAGGAATCTAACAGTAAACTTATAACGTGGACATCCTCACCTACAGTAAACAGTGGGGAGACATAGGTTCACAAAAGGCAACGCATGCAACATGCTTGGGCACCTCAAAGGCAGAAAGTGAGAACAGGGTCAATAGAGATGAATGAGAAACTGGACCTACCCTTAATATGTCCCCATGGGAAGACAGGACCTTTACCCACAGGTCATTCAGGATAGAACAGGAAGCAGTCCATAACTGTAGAATGAAAGAACTTTAGAGGGAGTGACTAAATCCCTCAGACCAGGGAAGGCTGCATGAGTTGGATCTGGGGGTGTGTAACTTTAGGAAAGTGAAAGACCTACTGGAAGGACCTCTTAGACAGCAGGGATATGATGAGTGAAGAAGGCACCTTCTGGAAACCCGGGCACAGTGGTTAAGCAGTGAGCACTTACATTGACTAGAACATGGAGCTTGTGCAGAATAAAAGATGAGGTTTGATGAGTGCATAGACACAGGAGCCTGGCAGCCTGAAATGTCATTTTGGACTCCATTTTACAGAGATGACAAAGTGGCAGCCCTTAGCCCATGAGAGAGAGATTGAATGTCTTTAAAGAAAACTTTCTAGTTCACTGTAGTCCCTGTCAGTTTTGATTGTCTTATCTGTGAGTTAAGATAATCATCCAAGATAGTTTTCTTTCGTACTATAGACCATTACATAGTGATTAAGCACACAAGCTCAGAAGATAGACTTCATTGTTCCAAATTCTGGTTTGGTCACCTAGTAGGTCTGCAACCTCAGTTATGTAAATCTTTGTGCTTGGATTGCATCATTTGTAGAATGGGAATAGTCCCTGCGTAATGGGTGGGATTAAACCCATCTAAGCACACAGCATAGCACAAGGCATAATGCAAGCACCTACTACGTGTTAGTAGGCCTGGGAGGTATTTGAGTTTGCAAGCCCTGCTGTGGAACTACCAGAAGTTCTTTGAGAAAGGAAGTAATATCTTTTTATCTTCGCGTCCTACAGCGTTGGCCTAAACCCTGCTGCTCCAAGGGCATCAGATCATTGTGAGGTGCTCAGCTGTCACACTTAGGGTTTCCAATGGTGAACTTCAGTGTGATTTCTCGAAGTGAGTCTCTCACTCACACACTCCCTTTTATATAGAGCCAGTGGGGGAAGGAAAAGCCAGTAGCCAGCTCTGCCCACTGGTCTCTTCCAAACATCTGTGCTTCTCACAGCAGTAGTTGCTCAGGACAGATCAAATAGCGGCCTCACTTAGAGAACATTGTGAATTTCCAGAGCTGCAAATCCGCAGGATTCCAGAAGCTTCTCCCGTAACTTGCTTGTCTCTACCAGCTAAAAAATTGGAAAGGGGTTAACATAGAATTGTTACCCACCCAACACAACAACTTAAAAATAGGAGTGCAATCATTTTTAAAAACACTAGGATGAACAAAACAAGTCTTTTGTAAAAGCGCTGCCCGCTTTATAAACAATGCCTGCTAATTACATAACTGTCAGTGATGTTTCCTGGCAAGGCCACACTCCAGCTTTTTCGGTACAACACAGAAGATGCCTAAAAGGAAATCGCAGTTGCTAAATGCTGTGGGCAAACCCAGGCCTTATCTCTTTCCAAGGCAGCCATGGAAAAGGCATGATAAATTGCACACTTCAGTAAACACGTTATGTCATTGTGGAATGATGTTGATTCATGCTTATGTATTTATCACGGAACAACTGACAAACCTCAAGGTATCAGAAGTATCATTCGTGGGGTTTTGCTATTTTATGTTGCAAAACTCAAATGGCATAAAGTTTTTCTTTTTCTTTTTTCTTTAAAAATTTTTATTGGAAGTGGCTTTGTCCCAGGGTCTTTGGAAGTAATTCTCTTAATTATGTGAATTCCTGCCAGAAGTGTCAAAGAACTGTGCTAGTCACTAATATTTCCAATATAATGAATAATTCATATTTTTGCTATTATCCTTTTATAAAAGTTTTATAACCAAAAATAGACAAGGTTGTAAGCCAATTTGATTTTTTAAATAGAATGATAATCTCCTTTTGTATGGCTTATCAATATAAAAGACATCTCTGAAGTTTTCTGCACAATAGCCATACAATTAAGAGGGGGAGAGCATTCTTTCAGGAAGATTTTTACAGAAGCGACTTTTATGCAAGCATAATTTCTTTTGCACAGTCAAGGTATTTCACCTCAGTCTTTATCTGTCACCGCGTCTCAGAAGTTTGAAGTGTTAAGTAATTAAGTCATTTTCCACCTAAAATTTACAGGATTTTTGTCGTGTTTTTACCACTTTTCCCTTCAGTTGGTGTTTTGGGCATTAGCATTTAATGTTTCAAACCTTAAGAACAGCCGAAATCACCTGACAATAGTATCCACCCATGTGCTCTCAAATGGTTTCTTGTTTGGCTCAATCCCCTAAACCAAAAGCCACTCTCAACTTGGCTTTTGCTTTTTTGTTTTATTTCCTTGTAATCCGAAAAGCCGTCTAATTTTCATAATCCACTATTTTCACATGACTTTGGATATTTTGGATACTGCCAGTTATCGTATTAAGAGCTTACAAACAAAACAGCAAAGAAAACCTTGCCTACGATAGAAATGATAGGGCATTCCTTAGGGATATTAAAAAGGACTTTAGGATTGCTAATATATCACCATCATTGAAGCCCGAATTTATTTTATTTTCTCTTAGTGTATTTTAACCAATTGACCTTCACATATACTTTGCATTATTAAATTAGAATAAATTTCAACAGCCTTGAAATATGGCTCAAACAATTTGTAGTGTTTTTTCTTCTAGCCTCGGAATAGGACAAGCACATTCTCTAAATATTTACATCATGGGAGAGAATGTCTATGTACTTATGCTGATTTTGACTTAACATTTTCAAAAGTAAATCTGCTAAAATAAATGTAAGCTTTAAAGCGTAGAACCATAAATCATGTAACTTGATGCAGGTATTGCAGCCTGGCTTCAAGCACTTTCTGTGAAGATTGTTATGCCCTTTCCTTCCAGCTCAATGGCCACTTTCACCTTTCTATTGAAAACTCCCAAAATGCATGTGCGTGGGGATAATTTTAAAGCATGAGATTTATGTTGCTGTGAAGGAGAAATTCTTTATAACCACATAAAGCCATTGTCACCAGAACTTTTAGTCTTAAGTTTTACATGAAAGGGAACATATTTTATCTTAATGCCTCATTAAACTTTCTGGAAATGGTAGCATTCTAAAACATTTCTTGCTGAATGACTACACCTGTCCGTAAGTCCTCTGAAAAGTTCAGATGCCGCCAGTGAAAAAAAAACTAAGCATTTGTTTTAATAATTAAAACAGTGGCATGTTTTCTTCTATTTAATGTGGCATAGATGTTGCTTTGATATGTCACCCATAGCTCACCTGCAGTTTTTTTTTTTTTTAGGGTAATAGCCAAAACCACCATTTCTAAACTAAAAAAATATCAAAACTCTGGAGACAGTGAGAAGATCAGTAGTTCCCAGGGCAGAGCACAGGGCGGGATGCATAGGAAGAGCACAGAGGATGGTTAGGGCAGTCCAGCTCCTCTGCATGGTGCTGTGATGGTGGATACATGTCATATACATCTGTCCAAACCACAGAGACTGAACCGTAATGTAAACCACGCACCCTGGAGGTTGGGAGGTATCAGTGAAGGTTCTTCACTTATAACAGTCTCCCTCTGGTGGAGATGTTGATAACAGGGAATCTGTGAATGCATGGGGCAGTAGGTATACGGAAAATCTCTACACCTCCTCTCAATTCTGCTAAATTGACCTAAAACTTAAAAAAAAAAAAAAAAAAAAAAAAGTATTGAAGAAAATAAAGCCAAAAAATAGAAGAAAGCAAAGAATACTTTTCAAAAATTGCAAAAATATGTACCAATATGCAAGTCCCCAAGAAAAATATCTTTTTTTTATTGCTTAAACTATTACATATAGTAATACATATATCTCCTTTTTTGTTCCCCATTGACCTTCCCCCAGCAAAAAATGTCTTTTAAAAAAGTTAATGGCTTTCACTACAAAAAATGATATTACTACAATAAAATATTTAATTAAACTATTCAAAAATTTTATGTGGTGTGTCCCCAAGCATCGGGAATGCGCCGTCTGGCTGACCGAAGCTCAGACAGGAGAAAAGTAAAATAGCGGTATTGTGTCAATTCGGCGAATTGAAAATGCGTTTTCTTTTTCAGGGGCCACCCAAACCCATAGCCATTGAACCGTGTGCTGGGAACAGAGCTGCTGTCCTGACTGTGTTCCTCTGCCTCCCGCGAGGATCATCAGGCGCCCCTCCCCCCGGACAGTCAGGTAAGATGAATGATGAGCCGTCAGCAGTTAAGCAAAAACACATTGACTGAACAGAAGCAATAAACAAACCTACCAAACAGCGCCATCAACATATTTACATGGTTCTCATTTAGAGTATGGTAAAATGTTATTTGGCTACTAACGTCTACCCAAATATCTAGATAGCTGCATTGCTCTAAGTTCAGATGTTTTATTGCTTCTCTTAGAAATGCATGTTGAGTATGTGTCGGTTTATATATAATATACACATATATGTTGCTCACCCCACTCCCCTCCCCTCCAAATTTTTTGTTGTAATTACAATGAGAAATTGCACTAGGAAGGCAAACAAGTTCTTGACCCTTTGGGTCAGTTTCTTTTTTTCTGGTATGCGCATCTTAAAAGATGCTAAATTACAAGTCTAACTAGAAGTTTGTTTTATAAATATGGAACCAAATTAGCGAACCTGCTTGCATGTTGGAATGTTTTAGCAGCATCAGAGGATGATTGCTTGATGCAGCCATATCGGTATTATTGAGGTATGTTCTTGCCCAGCTGGTGAGCATCGTCTGTGCGCCGAAAGGTTGCTGGTTTGATTTGCAGGTTTGGTCCCCGGCTGGGGCACCTACAGAAGGCAACTGATCCTATCAGTGATGTTTCCCTCTCACAATATTCCTCTCTCCCCATTCTTCTCTCTAGCAGGTCCTCAGGTGAGGATTAAAAAAAACACACATAAAAAACAAACAAAAAAAAACAGTATGTTCTTGCTGTCGGCACCAGTCAGGTGGGATCTGTGGGCCAGGGAACCTCAGGCACAGTCAACCATTTCCTCTGATTCACCTTTTTTCCGCCTGAAAAGTGTACTTCGAATTGTGGGGTAACTCACCACATGTTACCTTTTAGAGGCCTTCCCATTGCTGTGATGTTGTTTATATTGCAGACATGCTCCGTGTTAAGTATAACTTTGATTAAATAACAAACCATGCTTATTTCTCTCTTATCACATATCTTATTCCATTTGCTTACAATCCCTAATTTTTCTTTCTCCCAATTGTCTTCTCCAAAAGCCTCTTCTTGAAATGGATGCTTTTTGAGGGCAAGGGTAATTTCCAATCTTTCTGTTCAGTTCCTCCTTAAAATAATCGTAAAATAAAATGCCAGAGCTCTGGCAGGTTCTCACTAATAGGAATTGATGATGAACCTGCCTCCCCATGTATTTTATCTTCTCTCGATCCCCTTGCCAGCGTATTTTATCTCTTCTTGACCTTGCTCCTCACCTTCTTGATTTGTGTCCAACCAGACACAAAAACAGAAACTACTTTATACCTGATAAATGTAAGATACTTTTGTAACAGAATTTTCCCATATGGGGACAGATGTTTTCCATTGCCTTTACACTTGTCATTTAGGGTACACTTGTCATTTAGGATGCAGGAATTTCTACCCAAAATTCATTTGCAGCTGCACCTTCTCATACACTGACTGAATGCTTCCTCTCCGTTTAGAGCCACCAACGTGAAAGGGATGCATAAGTAAGGTAGTTGGGCCCTGGTCAGATAAGATGGATAATTATAGGAACTGTGCCCAACTAATGGAAGTATTGTTTTAAGGCTGGGACGGTTTCCAGGGCAAACACTTCGCTAATGAAAACAAGTCAATGTGATAGACACCGATGTTCTTCTAGATCCTTGACAAGATGACGTACTGATGGGCAGAGTGAAGGCATCTGCCAATACTCTGTCCCTTTAACCTTTGAAATCTTTGTGACTGATCTGAAAGAGCCAAGTAGCCATGTGGCCCATTACCTCAGCTGTGTTTTATTACGGATGCATCATGATTGCTAGTGATGATGCTGGCTTAGTGTGCATAGGGCTTAGGTAAGGCTTTGCAAAGTGGTTTCCTGTTTCTCACATTTAATCTACTTCACAAGGCTGTGTTACAAAACTCACTCTATAAATAAGGAATCAAAGCATAGAAATCTTCATATTTCTACACTTGAGGAATAATTGAGAAATACTAGATTATGAAGCAGAACAACAAAAAATGCTTCCTGTTAACAATCGGGTAATTTCCCCCTATGGTTTATAGCAGAAAGCTTGATTCTCTGTAATCCACAGCCATGTCTTTACACAGCCAAGCATTCAGGAGAGTGCTGGAAATGCCCACAGGGCGGATACAAGCAGATGAAACCTTGAGCTAATGTGCCATGCTTTTCACAGTGCTTGCAGATGGAACTGCGTTGAATATCTATGTCCACAATTCAGAATGAGCTTGTTTATTGTTTAAAAAAAAACCAAACTAATGAATTTATTTTCTAGCTATCCTTATAGGAGTAGGAAGATTCTTTGATTTTACTTTTTCAAAATATATTATTAACTGCTATCTTGAGTCTACTTAGGAATACACCAAGAACATATATTGATGGATGGGTAGATGGACACATGGCACAAAACAAGTGAAGTTAATGGTAGAATCTAGGTGGTGGGAATTCTTTCCCCTGGGTATATATTTGAAATGTTTTATAATAAGGTGTGGGAAACAGTAAAAAAAAAAAAAAATCTTAACATTATTGGGTAAAAATAGAGTGTCTAAAAGAGACATTTTCTATTGTTCACATCTAAGTTTTCCCTAAACAAGGCAAATTGTGATACCAGTTTACAAACTGGCTTATTTTTCCCCTCTTCATTAAGCTATGTGGTGTGAGCACAGCCAATTAAAACTTACCATCTGTGAGCCTGAGCTTATCAGAGGGCCCTGTACATAGAAAGCAGCCCAGGGATGCTTTTGATGGTGATGAGAGGAGACCTGGGGGACGGGACCTGTAGCCACCACGCCCATCTCTGAGCCTCAGTGAACAACAAGGAGCAAAAGGACCAGCTTTCAGTCAGTTTCCCACATCGCTCCCCTAGGAGCCCTGTGTTCTGAAGAGCCTCCTCCAGTGCTGGTGCAGGGGGAGGAGGCATGGGGCGCTTTATGGACAGACTGCGGACCCCCACCTCACCCCACCCCCACCGTGAGGGACAGAGCACCAGGAGTCCCTTCCTGGCTCCTGGGCCATTTCCATCTCCAAATGTTAGCATATCTACTCCGTAATTAATTAGCACTAATTATTAGATTAAAGGTCCTCTTGCAGTCCTTTGCACAATCTCAACGTTTATCATCAGGCTCGCTTTTGAAATGCAGCTTTCTAAATGTCGAGTGATGCTCTTCAGAATGCGCACTCCTCATCACCGCGAACAAAATCATTCCGGAGGAGGAGTCTGCGGAGATGGAGGATGCGGAAGCCTCTGTGAGCAGGTGGTCTCCCAGAAACTCCATCTCCCCACTAACAAATTAGTGAGTCCACAACATCCCAGTAACAATTTTGCTCATCTCTGTTCAAATGGTGGCTTCACTTAGAAAGATGGCATTGTCCTTGGACTTCATTCTCTTCCCACCAGCAGTCAGTACTGCTGAGTGTCATCAGCCACGGCCCTGTGGTGTCTGTCTAACATGTGTGAAGGCCCTTCCGTGGCTCTCCTCTTCCCAGAGGTCAAAGAGAAACTGCGGATTCCCCCTTCAGACCTCCCCAGGCACGAATCTCCCTTGTTTGTCTTTAGTGCTATGTATGTGGGTGTTTGTGAGCAGTTCTCCCTCTAGGGAGCTTAGAAGAGTAAAAGCAGAAGCTATGAAGCAGGCTTTTCGGCATTCCTGGCACTGGGCTGCTCAGGCTCCCTGCTCCCCACCCCACCAACCTGCTGCTTCTTTCCTGGGCTTTCTGTAACAGCCACTGCCAACCCCGCAGCTCTCTCGGGTCAATGTGGGATTTGTGATGTTGACATGTGTGCGCTGTGCGGTCACTCTCTTCTGACTTCCACGCGGCTGCAAAACTGACATCCCCGTGAGAACAGGGCGCATCAAGCCACTTTGTCGCGTGACACTGAACAACCCAGCACGTCCCCACTCACCTTGGACAACAAGGTCCCCTTGGGTTTTAGAATCACATTGAGATGAAAAGTGGACAAACTAAGCAGGCGCCTTTAAAAGATCCGCTGAACAGGATAATGATGGCTGTCAGTTTGTGATGAAGGATTATGGATTTCACGGTTGATGGCTTCTCACTAGCAGGACGCAGATTAACTCTTTTCAGCGGCCGCGTGTCCACAGCCCAACAGGAGTGCTGGGCTTCAGCTAAAAACGGGATTTTGCCTCATGCGTGAGTGACTCGAATAGCGCCAAGAGGAAGAAGGCTGCTAGGAAGCCTGAGGTTTTGATATTTTTGTTCTTTAGGCTGAGAAATTTGGGCAGGATGATCAGATTTAAAAAAAAAAATCTAGAAATGTATAATGTTCAAAATAATAGTCTACCCACGGTGTCATGGGTAATGATGACAAAAAAAAATAACTTTGGTTAAATTACATGAAAAGTGGCTTGGAGAAAGATAACTAGAAATTCTGAGCTTTGTATACATTCACTATATACTTTATATACATTATTTTCTTCATATACATCTGAGCTTCATATACATGTATTATATGCCATATATATATATATATATATATATATATATATATATATATACACACATACATACACACACACACACACATAGAGGTACTTTATATACATGCATTGGTTTAATCTTCTAAATGACTGCAAAGTAAATATTATTATCCCAGTTTTACAGATTAAGAAATAGAGCTGAAACTCATGTGAGATTCGATGACTTCTTTGGGGCCAATACAGCTAGTGAGTGAGTGAACCAGAATTCGAACCCAGGGCCACCTGGTGCTCAGCCCATGAGACTCTCCCTCATCACTGTGCTTCTGTGGATGAAGATATAGGGCTATTCCAGAGGGCCCTCATTCCTGACAAACTTCTCTCTGCAGAATCAGAGAGGAAGGACCTGAAGGATTCTGCTAAGCATTTGGGTTTAAGCAGGCAGGCAGGAAGGATAGATTTATCTTTCCTGGCGATTAAACCCCAGAAGTTTTGGGAAATGTAAATATGTACATGCCAACCTCACATCCGCTATAGACTGT